GAACCTGTAGAAGAGCAAGTGTACAGCCAGCAAGGCTCATCAGCTCTCCCGTTCTCACTTGCTCTGAAAGACGGAGCCCAGTAAAACAATAGGAACAACAGGAAAATAAAGAACACTCCCTTCCCATGTGCTCTCAAGGAGGTGTTAACTTCAAAGCTTGGCTGCCTTGAGTTGGGAGTTAATTACATTTAATGGCGAGAATGGCCACCTAGAGCACCCGTTAAAATACTGTTCTCTGCTCTTCTACATGCGAATAGTCTTGCTTTGAGCATCCAGAGCAAACACTCTTGTAATGCCCCGGGGAAACGGGTTCCTGCCCCACTGCTCCTCGATGCTGATTTCTTTTTCAGGCTGTGTCTGTACCAACTTCAAGGTGTTACTTAGGGGTAAAGGCTGATGGATGTTTCTAATCGGTGTTGTCATTAATGCAGTGATAGGGATGCTCCAAACAGCTTGTGCTTGTCTTTCTCCTCTTTAGTCTCCAGATGGTATTGCTGGTTTACAAAGCAGGAGATCAGTGCAGGTCTTAGTGCTTCTGTGATGCTGTTGGGTGGTGTGTTTCACCTTTGGGGTGAGTTGGGTTAAGGAGTACTGGGAGGAATGGTGTTTCCTGTTCCCTCTTCATAGCCATGGTCCTGCAGCTGGACCTCCTGTGGGACAGAGTGCTGCAGTATGCCTCAGAAACAGGGTGTGTTTGCAGGACAGCAGTGCAGTGGTTAATTCCCAGACCATTCTCTCAGTTTATCTTGGGCTGTTTTCCTGAGGTCCTGCTCCAAGCCAACCAGTTCCTCTGCAATAGGAAAGGAATGATTTCACTCAGTTATTTTTCACAAGCTGTTTTCCCCTCTCTGCTTGGGAGAGTGTGTGGGTTTGCCTGGTCAGTGTTAGGGCGTCCCAGGTCCTCAGATTGTTTGGTTTTGATTTCGAGAGGAGGGTGAACTTCTCCCTCTTTAGATTGATCTGTTTGCTTTTGAGCAAACCCTCCACCGTTTGATCTTCACATTTGCCCTGCCTCTGGGGTTATGAACACAAAGAGAAACGATTGTGGGGCAAGGACAGGGGTGAGCCTGGAGCACTGGTGGGGGGCCTGGTGCATTCCCTACCCTGAGCTCCTCCCTGTGCAGTAGTTCAGTGCAGGGATGAAGCTCTGGGTGTTGTGGTGAGGAATGGGCTGTAGTGTGAGTGGTTGCAGTGTTTTGACCTGTCTGTCACAAGTGTGCAGCCTCTTTTGCACTGTTTGTGCCTGTAGCTCTGACCAGGTTATGTGGATTCTCATCTTGGAATGTAAATAGGCTATGGGAAAGCCTCCAGCTTACTCAGTAGCTTTGTTCCAGAAAACCAGGCTTTCCTGTGTGTGGTTTGCCCAGGGACTGCACAGGGTATTATAGATTGTAATTGCTTCACAGCTTCCCTGCAGAAAGATGGATGGAGGAGGCAGCACACAGGGAGGACTGGCTCTGGTACACTGATCCTGTGTAACCCACCACAGCACCCTGTGTGCTGGTGAGGCCATGCTGGGCATGTGGCTGGGTGTCTGCAGACTCTGCTCCTCTGCATGTGCCCAGGTTGCTTTTTCCCCAGAAGTCAGAGCACTGGGAATATGGTGGCAAGGCTGATGGCACACCATCCTGTTGTTCTCTTGGAGGCTTTTCCTGCTGGTTTCCTTGTGGCCCTGCTTCATGCCTTCCTTCTTTCTTTTTTCCCCCCCCCGTTTAAAGGGCAGAAAGACTCTCTTGATCATCTGATCTGCTTGACTGTAAAACACGATCCCTCAATGTGGCTGCCTTCACTGACAGCGCGTGCCGCTCACTGTTTGCGGTGGTGCCTTGAAACGCTCACAGGTGACAGACCTCATTTACCAAGGGAGATCTGATTTAGCTGAGCACTGGTGGGCCTGCTGTGGATGTGCTTGGAGACAGGGATGGTAGCTTAGTATGACAGGCTGGAAGGGCCAGGAAGAAGGAGTGGTGTTGTCGCTTTGGGTCATTGTACCTATCTAGGTTAGAGTTGAACTTCTGCCTCGTTGTGGCATTGCTGAAATCCTCATCTTTTTGTGATAAAACTGGTCCTTGCAGGTTTTTTGGTCCTTCAGAGGAGGAGGGTGGGTGTATCTCAGCTTTACTTGTATTGAAACCAGTGTCTTCTTAGTCCTCCTTTTAGAGACAGCTGGATGAAACGCTTCATATCGGAATAATTGTCAACGCTTTGCAGAATTTGGTCACGTTTGGGTAGTTGCAGTCTTCTGGGCCAGGCTGGCTGCCACTAACACCAGGCTCTGGATGGCAAGCTTTGTGGTGGGAAGCTCAGTAATTTGCTTGTCCTGAGCTAAAAAGCAAATAATTGAGGCCTCCAGCTCAGCTGCACAGCAGCAAAGACCACATGGGTGGAGGAGAGGAAGCTGCAGTGTTTCCCTCTTCTGTCTTGCCCCTGAGTTTCTGCCTGTGCTGCTGCTTTGTTCCTTCTCAGCATCTCGGTCGCAGCAGCGTCTCTGCTCGCGTGAAGAAGCAGAAGAGCAGCATGGAAAATAGAGCAAGGCAGCGTGGGCCAGGCAGGAGTGGCGTTCGCCGGAATGGTGAATTGGGTCAGAAGAAATAGCAGAGCTGTGAATTCAGCAATTTTCATCCTTTACATCAGGAGAGGGGGGGAAAAAAAACCCCTTGGCTTCCCATCCCCCTTGGTGGGAAGGGGTTAGATCTTGGTCTGTTGCTTATGGCCTTGTGGGGCCTGAGCTGTGGGGCAAAAGCTGATTTAATTCTCCTCTGAGTCTCTGCTCTTTCCAGTTGTCAGGATGAGTACAGTGTATTCTGTACAGCCATGAGTCTCCACAGCATGGAATTTTTAGGCTTTGCTTCGTTTCCAGGGCAATCCCCTAACTTTATTGTTATGTCCTGCAGATAGCAGAAAAAAATCATATGAGAATGGTCTCTTTTTGTTATTTTTGAGTGTTTTATTTTAGGGACAATTGTGAGATTTATAAGAACAAAGAACTAGTACTGTGGCATTGTGCAGACCCTTCTGTTTGCAGGGACTGCTTCTCTAGCAAGGAAAATGTGTGTAAAAGTGCCTGTCTTAGCAAGTTATCACAGAAACACTTCTTGCCCCTCTGAGGTTATGTACCAGTCCTGCTATAAAGTTTATTGACCTATGAAGAATCTCAGCACAATTCACTGGAGTGTGCCTTAGTCTGTTCCTGACATCAAAGCCTTCCTCCCCTGACCCTTTGTTTCGGTGATAGTCCCCAGAAAAAGTGGGTCCTCTCCCTGGAGCTCGTTAGGTGGATGTAGCTGTCTGCCCCAGGCAGTTCCTCAGCAAACCCTGGGCCAGAGGGCTGTGGAGAGGCCAGCTAATTGTAAAAAATCCTGGAAAACAAGATGTTGGAAGGGGCACAGGAGGTGACCCAGTTCTGCCCCTGGCTCAGAGCAGGACTGGCTTTGATGCTGGGTTGTGCAAGGGTTCGTTGATGGCGTTTTCTCCGTCTGGGTTGGAGTCCACTGAGAAGGAAGCTTTTCCCTGGCCACGTGTCCTGTTTTGGGAATGGTGACACCTGTCTGCTGGTCAGGTGTTTTGAAAGTGGCAATACTATGTTTTGGGTCATTATCTGAGAGAGGTGGACTCAGGCTGATGGTGAGATACCCCTTTTCCCATACAGGGTGAGTGGTTTTAAGAGTCTTTTGCTTAAACTTGCTCTGGAAGCTTTATCCGTGGAAAAATGGGCTTAAGAGCTCCTTGAGCCCAAGGAAGGAAGGCTGAAATCAGGCTTGGGGCCCCTTGCATGCTGTTCTTCCACCCTGTATCCCTGAGCTCACTGCTCTGCTTGGCTGGAGCCAGGCACTGGGCAGTGTTGGCTCTGCTGAGCTGTGTCTACCCAGTTGGTCACTGAGGTCTGTCCAACCCCTGTGACAGTGACCTGGTCACAACACCTTGTGTCGGTCATAGGTGGCCACAGCCTGGAAGTGATTCAGAACCAGAAGGAAAACTCACTCTACTGGAAAGAAGAAATCATAAAATTCAATTTTAAGATTGAAGAAAATCCTTTCCCCGTAGTTTTGCATTGCAAATAGCCCAAGGTTTATTTTTTTCCCCTCTGTGAAGTTGTTTCAGTTGGTCCATGTGCTTAACCTGTGCTATCCCATGTCCCTGTGTTGCCAGGTGGAGGGGAGGGCCTTGCTCTGCTGATGGCAGATGATATTCAGTAAGAGTTGTTATCTCATCTTTTGCCAATGGTCTTTGGTTTTGTAGCTTTGTCAGGCTGAGCATCTGCCAGCCAGTGTGCCCAGGTGTCTGGGGTTTACAGGACACTTTACACCACCCTCTCTTTCCAAAGGAGGACAGGGGAAAATTGAAGTCTGAAAAGGTTGTTGGTTTGTTAGAATTTTTTTTTTTTTTTTGCAACGGAATTTTGACAACTTAGAAGGTTTTTTGGCATGTTCTTACCTTAGTGTAGTGTCCACACTAGTGTAGTTAGGACCAAATGAAGTGTGAAAGAAAGTGTGGTGATACATGGGGATACAGTAGCAGGTGGTGCTTCAGCTCTGCCTTGTATTTGATGCTCAAATGTTGCTCTAATGTGGAAGAACCAACTACTGGAGAGTGTTTTCTGTCCCATGCCTTTGGGGAAAGCTATTAAAAGAGGAGATGTTCTTTAGCCATTAGGAAATGATGCATCTAACTGCTCTGAATGGAAAACTTGCTCCACGGGAGGTAATTTTAGTAGCTGGTTCATTTTACTTCGGGGGAATCTGCATCTGGTAGATGAGGGAGGCAGTCCCTTGCCAGGCTGCTCTATCCCTGGGGGTGTTGGTGGTTGGCTACTATTCCCAAAGCACTCAGGGCTCCTTGATGAAAGTGCAAAGTGTTGGTGTTGTTATCGTCAGGCAAAAAAATAACAGACCTCATAAAAATTTGTCAGGGCCTTCTTCACAAAAGACTTAATTGTGCAGGGAGGGTTGACAATATTTATTTGCATGCAATTTCCTGCCCTGGGGAGCTGGAGATTGTGGCAGACAAAGGACAGATGAAGGGTTGGAGAAGGGACTGGATTGATGGAGGTGACACTTGGCACACATGGTGCTGAGGCTATGAGTTTTGTGGGGCTTTTGCTTCTTCCTTTCCCATGCTGGTTAGTTTGCTTATTGCCTTGTTTTGTGCTTTACTGCACATCCCGTGTAGCCTGTTAACCATTCTCAGTTCCTAGCCCCTCCCGAGGTCCTGTCACTCTCCTTTCTGGAGAAAGGTGATTTTTGCAGGTTGTGTTTCTACTAAATGCTTCTTTCCAAACAGTTTTTCTCTTGAACTTGGGTGCAGTGTACAGTTAGTGTCTTCATGAGTATTCTAGCTCACAAGGTTCCATCTCGATAGTGGCTAAATGTAGTTATTTTGAATGGGTCACCAAAGGTGTGACTTGATTTGGGGGGTATTTTAAAGGGGAGAGCTGTTTCTCAATGTGAATGAAAAGAGCATTTAACTTTGCTGTTATTTCTTAGTAAACAAAAGCACGTGCTTTTCTAGGGAGAGCTGGCGAGGGTTTTTCTTTAGCCTGTGAATGTGTTGTGGAGGTAAATTGGGGGAAGAATTGGAAGCCAAGCAGGCAGCCTGGTGTGTAGAGCATCACACCTTGCTCTCGAGTGGTGTGTCAGCAGCAGCTTTGCAGTGGTGGTAGCACAGCAGTCTCTGCCTGGCGTGTGCTCCAGCTCTCACACACTGTGAACCACGCACAGCTCTTTGTCCGGCGGTGCTGATTTCACACACACTAAGCATCAACTCGTAAAAATCATCTCTCCAGGCTCCTTGTTGAGGTTGTGATGTGCAAAACAGTGCTGGAATTGGAGTAGTAAAGCCTGAAGTTAGATTGTGATTTGTAGGAGTGGAGAATGATGATGACATTTCTGATGCTCAGCTTGGCCATTTGACCCTTAAGACCATGTTACAGCCATCCTTTTGCCTTTTATTGCTGGATTATTCATGTCAAATTCATACAGTCCTCTGGGCTGGGCTGGGGCTGTGCTGCTGGGCTGGAGGAGGTTGGCTCTGTCTGAAAGCCTCAGCACAACCACAGTTGTGTTGTGCCACGCTTGGAAAATTAAAGTGTGTTTGGAGTTGTCTCTAATGGCAACATCAATCTGCATAATAACAGTGGTCTCTCCTTTTTGCCTCCACAGAAATGGAAGCGGTTTGGAATTTGCAGAAGCAAGGTAAGGATGTTGGAAAGAATAAATAAATCCAATTGCTCTCTCTGTTGGGATGGGTGAGGAGTGAGAGTGGATTGTCTCTGTGTCCGGAGATGCCTGAGTTTAGTTCTTCAGTGCCTGCAGGTTGTAGTCTGGATTTATCCATGTTTTGGATCACTAAAAGTCAGGACAGTAAGCTTTGCCATAATAGTGGTGTGTTCAGAGAGAAGCAGAGTCTCTAAAAGAGCAATAAAACCAGTGTCAAATTAAATTTAATGACTCTTCCCTATGTGTATACAAAATTGCTTTCTATTTCTGGTGTTGGATGTCACATCCAATAATAAGTTTTAAATTCGGTTGTATTCCCACAATTCAGCTGGGAAGAGGTTCTGTGTTAGCCTGTGGGAAGAGCAGCACACAGAGCCTCGTGTGCTGCTGTGGGAAGCAGGCACTGCTTGGGGGGATTGGCCTGGGCTCGAGGTGCTGATGCTGAGGGTCGGGAAGAAAAGTCTTTTAACAGCCAAGTACCTTGCAGATCTCTCATGTTTGTTTTCAGCCACAGACCCTGAAAGCAGCTTGTCAAAAACTTAGACTTTTCCTTGCTTTCCAGATCCCAAAAGGATAATCACTTATGATGAAGCCATGGATCGCCCGGATCAATGAAGGTAGCAAGACAAGACTGCCTGTTCTAACCTTTCTGCAGCATTTGTGCTGTTCGTGGGGGACAAAAAGGCTTTTATGCTCCTTCTAAATCTTCAGTGCAGCAGAGGAACCATAACTAGAATCACAGGATAATATATACAAATATATATATAGTTATTTAAAAATGGCAACTGAAAGTAATTAGACTTCTTAAGGAATCTGAAAATTTATTTCAACGAGACTACACACGTGATTATTTAATCTCCGGTACTGAATAGATTTTTTTTCATTTTTTTTTTTTGTTTTGTTTTTGTTTAAAGAGTGAATGCAAGTGATTAAGGAATACAGACTCAATTACAAGCCTGGTTTCAAAGTTCCTGCTGTCGTCTACATGGGCAACAGCAACCACTGGAGAGGCATTTCCACTTGACAAGGTTTCTGTTTCTTGTTCTGTGACTGTAGTGACACACTAATCACAGGGAAATCAGGATGATTCACCATCCTTCATCTCCCCTTTCCCTTCCACCTCCCTTATTTGGTTTCTCTTTTTTTATTTTGTTTCTGGTTTGTTTTCCATTGAATGCTGGAGAAACACCTTGAAGTTTGCAGAGTTTCTTTTTTCGTTTCCAGAGAATTTTAATCCGCATGTTTTGCCAGGAGTAAAGCAGCAATTCTATGCTGGGAATATTGTCTTAAAAGGATCATTCTGCTGAGGGAAAGATGGTAATACTGCAGTTCTAGGATGCATGATGAAGTCACACAGTTGACCTGGCTCCGGTTACACGTTGGACTACTGCAACTGAAGAGTTATTTCGTTTTTAAAAGACAACATGGAAAAATAAGCAATCTGTTTAGGCATTGAATATGGAGAAAACAACAAAAATCCCACTGTTCCCACAGTTTAATGCCATTGTATTACTGGGAGCAAGGAAAAAAAAAAAAAAAAGACAAAAAAAAAAAAGGTATCTTCTGCTTTCAACTGTAGGTGCTTCATATTTGCTCTGTCTGTCTCCTAACACTAAATGTGCTGGATTTTTTTCCCATTTTCATTGGAAAACTGAAGAGGAATTGAGTTCTGCTAACTTTCACCCTTCTTGAATTATTTTTTTCTCTTAAAAAAAAATGCAAAAGTTAAAAAAAAAGAAAAAAATTAGGAAAAAGAAAGAAAAAAAAATGGGAATTTGAATCCTTTTCAATTTGTCCATAGAAGGCCAATGGCTGGGCTTCCTGCCCCTTGGAAATGCTCTTTTATATTTTACTGCAGTCTGTGTATTTCCGGGCTCTGCTTCTAATTATCTCTTAATAAAAATATATTTTATTACAAAAAAAAAGGAGGACTTAGGAATGAAAATAATAATTAAAAAAAAAAAATCAAAAAAATAATCCCAGGGAAAGGAAAGCTTCCTAGCAGTGGTAGGGAAGGCTGAGCAGAGTGCAGACTCCAGCTGTGTGACCCTCTCTGTCCCATTGCAGCTTGTGTAGTGTGTCCAAGTCATCTGGGGGTTGGTAGTTCTTCTGGGGTTTGGTTAAAAGGTGGAAAGTTCACAGGGTCCAGTGCAAGAGTGAGCAGTGAATCCAGCAGAAATGGGTTTGCTCCACATATCCTGAGTGTCCGTGGCCCAGTCCAAGGTCAGCAGCAGTTGGTGCCTCCTCAAGTTAGACTGGACCCTATGGGGCATTACAGGAAGCAGATAAGCCCAAAACTTTTGCATACCCTTTGTGCTTAGATTTATCCACTTCTTTGTTTTGTTTTTGTTAATTAGGAGTATGTAGCATGCTTTCTTTTTTTTAAATTGTTTTTATTCTTTTAATGAGGTTGTTCCTGAATGAGACACTGAAGTTCATGGTGGGACAATGTACCTTGTGTAAGATGCTTTCTGCCATGCTTGGTTTGAAACGTTTGACTATGGATTGCCTACTCCATTTGATGTATCCAACACTATATAGTATAATCCTGAGTGTGATACTATATAGTCATCATGTATTGTACCAGTCCAGGTTCAGAAATGTGTGGTTGGCCAGTCACAAATAGTTCTGTTTCACCTCTAAACTGTACCACCTTGACAGGTGTGTGTAACTCTGAGATGTATAACATGTTTACAGATGTGCCCAACATCTAGTCCTCTGACCTTCCTGGGTTTAATTCTGTTGAGTCTCCCAACTGCTTGCCAAAAGTTGGAATTGCCTCCAGCTCTGCTGCCGAAGAGCTGA